AAAATTAAGAGGGAAAACAAAAAGATGAAAAGCTATAGTATAATAATATAAAGGCTCAAAGTACTGGTATTATTTAGGTGAAAGGTTACTTGATAGATTTAAGCTTTTCTTGTTCTCTCTCCAGAAAACAGAGGCTATGTATCACAACAAGAGTTTCATTGGGTCTAAGAAAGCGTACTAGAATACGTGCTGGAGTACTGACATGCATCAAAATGTAGTAGGACATATATTCATTTTGTAATTATAATTTTGTCAAGTTTGTTTCTTATATTTTAGCATTACCTGAAAAGTTTAACTACATTAAATCCCAAGGGATAGTCCCCAGTTATTTCATTTAACTGATATTTTCATAGGGAATTTTGCTCTGATAATGATCTATCATTGGGGCTTATAATTTATTTTTTTACATAGAGAATATTGAAATAGGTTAAGAGTTAATTGACAAAAAAAAAAGCACTATTAATGCCATTGAACAGAAACAGAATTCCCAAATGAAAATGAAGCATTTAGGGGTTTAATTTATTATTAATACTATTTTAGCTTGCTGCTTCATTCCACAACATTCTAAGTGGAGGAAGAAAGGCAATTAATTTTATCTTTAAACTGTTTAGGAATTACCTGAGGATTAAGATTTAACTGGCTTTTTTTCCTCAGATACTTTTGTATTTAATGGTTATTATATAAGTATCTGTTGCATATTTTATTGAAATAGTTTACATGGCTTTGTAGCCTAACATTTCAAAGTGCCAAGTTGAATAAATATTAAAATGAGGATATCTTATAAGCACTCAAATAAGCAGTTTTAAACTTTTTTGAGTCATAAGGCTTTTGGCAAGGTATAATCCTTTTAAGAGTCTGAAGGGCCATGGGCCCTCTTCTCAGGAAAATCTGTACCTCATTTTACCTCTAATTTCAGGGAGTTCTTGGAGTCCCTAGAAATTCATCTCTGCTGTACACTCTAGGATCAGTTTAAAATCTCACTTCAGGTTACCTTGTTGATGTGAGAAACATCTTTTTAGGTACATTTGTAGATATAGACATTTAACATCTATTTGGAGAATCCTTTAAAATCTGTCATGAGGATTATTTAAAAAGTAATATCCTTAGTCACAGAGGTATAGTCTTCAGATTTTTTTTTTCTTAACTAAGTGAACCATTAAAAACCTCCATTGCTGCTTAAAATACCAAATGGGTGACTACTCTTCCATTTTTTCCTTTAGGATCTGTAAAAGAGTTAATGGTCACCTTAGGATGTAATGATTTTCATTAAGGGATTGACATTCCTTTGCTTTGTGTAATAAAATGCTGATGAACTTGAACACTGGTGGGAAGGAGTATTCTAACTGGATTTTCAGTTAACTCAGTATTGACCAAATGATTTACACTGAAAAGTCTTTTCAGTTTATTAGTAAACACAGTACTTTAGGATTTTCTAGGACATAGGCCATCATTTTGGTTACCATTATATACAGTAAAGTTATAAAAAATGAGTCTGAACTCTGGGGCATCATTTAAAAGTTAAATGTACCATAAACCAATATTCTAAAAACAAACTTCTAAGTTTCAATTAAGTTTTCTTTACGGGGTACTAAACATTCTAGAAATCTGATTGTGTCTGTGTCAGTTTGTATACTGTGTAAGAATATATGCATTTCTTTTGTAGCCACGTCATGAATATTTTAATGTCCCTGTGTACTAAATGACTACTCATCGTGTGTGCAGAATTTCACAGAGGAAATAGAGAGCTGATATGCTTATGAAAGAAAATATCCTCAGCTTGGTGACTGATTACTTTATATAGTAATAATAGAACATTTCAGAACCAGTACTTTTACAATTGTAACATTTTTCCTGTTCCTATCCTCTTTTCTATTTTATTTTCATTCTATATGTGATCTTGATACAACTTTTTCCTGCTTACAACTGGTTTAATTTTTCTTGAAAAAATATGACCTATGACTTTTGAGTAATGTTTCATCTAAAACGCATACATGTCATCATTTATGAACTATCTTTGATTAATCTTGTAAGAGGAAAACCTAACAGTCATTAAAATATTTACCAAAGAAAATATAGCTGAAATGCTAGGTCAAAATAAGCAGTGCCATAGTGTATAGCATGGTTTGGTCTTCACATGTTGAGGGGGCAGTACTATCTTTAGGGTGATTATATTACAGTCTGTATGAGCTGTTGTTTTCTAATGTATCACATAAAAGTATATTTGGAAATAATACAAGAAAGTAAAATCTGTACTAATATACACTATTTAAGGTAAAACATTCACAATTTTTAAGGAATTTCTAATACCACATGTATTGAATCACATTTGTGCTGTATACAACGGTATCAAACAGTCTCTTTAAGAACTGTCAGAAAGCTATGTCAAAAAAGTCTATTCAATAGTGAGTAACCCTTTCAGAGTATTAATATGGAGTTTATTTTCTATAGTTCAAATTCTAATATTGTTTAAATACCAATATTTTATTAGTTATGGTTTTATAATTGCCTTCATTTAGATACTTAATGATTTGTTAAATATGGTTTTATATTTCTGAATATTAAAACCTTTAATATTGATCATTTTTGTGTATACTTTTAATAAAACATGCAACATATTTTATTATAAAGGGGAAAGGATGAAATAATTCATTGTTTATATCTAGAGAGCTTAAAGCCTGAGTTAAGTAAGCTACCATTAAACAGTAAATTCAACAGATGCTCACACTGGTTTACCACTAAAAGAAGACACATGAAAATGTGTATTAGGCAGGTATGCAGATCAGTTATTTCCATTCTTACCATTCTCACTGTACTGCATTACATTTGAAGCACCTGGATGGGCTATCAAATGAGAAATTTAGCATTATACGTTGAAAGCATTGGGAAACAACGTTGGTCTTCATTTCCATTTTTTCCCTCTACCCCTCCCCCAGCCCTTCAACTTGTCATTCATCTGGTTTTAATGGTGCATAAATATACATTGTCTCATGCCTGTTTGCTTTGGATGCTATGTGCCAAGCTGTAACAAAATGTTGCTTCTTTTGTTATCTGTATACAGCTGCTTGCTTTAAATTAGTAGATTCTGAAATAGCTTTCCTTGCATGTCTAAAATAAAAGTATTGCATGTACTGTCTCATGTGAATGACTTTTTTTTATCCTTTTGATAAAAAATAGATTTCATAGTTTAGTTTTTACAGGTCATTTAAAAAGGTTGTGGTTAAAAAATAACAAAATTTATTAGCTTAAACATTTTTAAGTGTACAATTCAGTGATGTTAAGTATATTCACATTGGTGTGCAACAGATCTCCAGAAGTTTTTCATCTTGCAAAACAAAGTCTGTACCCATTATAAACAACTACTCCTTACTTCCCCTCCCCTCAGCCTTTGGTAACCACCTTTTACTTTATGTTTCTATAAATTTGACTACTTTAAATAATAGTTTTTCTAGGTAATTTTGAGCTACAGTTTGAGTGTGGATATGTGAAAATTATTTTTATATTATAAATACAATTGGTAAAAAAATTCAAATGTACTATTTGTACAAGTCTCAAAGGAATAAAATGTGTAAATGATACTTTCAATCTAAGCCTTTTAGAAAGGACAGATTTTTGAAATAATGCATATTTGGTAAGCAACACGGTTCTCTTCAAGAAATACTATATAAGATTGCAGACAGTCAGCGCAC